TCTCTAGGACACACAAGAGATATCACAATCTGATAAGGCATTACCATTAAAGTCTGACCTCAGGTTAAAGCTGAATGAGTAAACAAAGATTAGCCAACTACAGATAAACCACTGACATTACCTGTTCATATCTTTGATGATACATTCATTTGGAATTACCCTCGAATGGATGGCCACTTGATACTGTATTACTATTTCTACTACATTTTTCTCTTCTACTGTACTACTACAGTACTACTACTAAACTGATGATTCTTCAGATTAAGTGTTCCTACTATTACTGCCTATTCTGTGCAGTGAAACAAAATCCTGTGTTAACTTGTATACGATGTCACTTGGAAATACTTCTCCATATTCACAATTTACAATGGAAGCTTTCTCCAACTCAAGGACCATAGCCGAGCCAGCAAAACTAGCAACACAGAGGGAGCTCACATGAATATCCGAGCTGTACCATTACATATAACACACATGTACCAGTACATTTTTTTTTAAGATATTAGCATGACTATACCTAATACAAAAAAATTGGTAAGTTAGTATGTCTACAAGTAGTAAACACAAGAGGAAACAGACTGATGCAAATAAAATAAGAATTTAAGACTGTAGATCTGGGCGTCCCAATAAATGTTATTGCAGCCGAGTTCATTACCTCTTCATATCTTTCATGAGACATTCGTTTGGAATTACATTACCTGTTCATTTATTACATTACCTGGAATTACATTAGTGATAAAGATAACCTATAATATTGTAAATATGATTTTAAGACTGAAAATGCAGACTTTGCAACTTAGGAAGAAATTAAGTTAGCTTAAAGCTAAATGTGGATAATGATGCAGTGTGGCAGTTGCAAAAAATGATTTGAAATTAATGAAACACACTAGTCATGGAGTGGATGCCTATGGAACAAGTACAGTATGGAGATTTTGTTTTTGTTTTTACCAAAAATAAACATTACTATATTGAGGTGTTTAATTTCAGAGGGATATCTTAAGCCTTGGAATTTAGAAAGCCACCATAGTATTAAATACAGTTAGCTGGGAAATGCCAGTCTGCCGACATCTTCCACATATACTGTACTGTATACTATGCAGTACCAAGAATAATATTCAAGAATTGAAGCTAGTCTATATTTTATTTCATATATAGTTTACTTTCCTCATGTGGTTTTAAATTCAAAATAAGCTACATGCAAATGTGTTTGCATTAATAGACAATAATTGCAGGAAAAATAGTAAATACCAGAACATGCAACAGAAGAATTTAGAACTAACCATTACATGTGGGAAGGAAACCACAATTAAAAGTTTATTGCATTTTCAAGCTTAAAACATTTAGAGTCAATAAATAAGTCAATAAAAACTATAATTTAATAAACTGAAGCCTGCCTTTTAGGTGCAAACAAAACATATTAAACCTTTTACCATTGTGATTTCTTCAAAAATATCGAGACAATTGGATTGGCGGGCCACATAAATAAATTACACATGAGAAATGTCTACCCCACCAGAAATAAAAATCATACATTGCATGAAAATTCCAAGTGATATTTCTGCTATAATACCCCATGATTTAGCGGGAACTCTAAACTAAAATTTTGGAAACCATCATGCATTACAACTATGCACAGGTTAGTATGCATTTATAACATGTGTGCTCATATACACACACATTAGTTCGTACTCTGAGTATTTTAAACTAAACTAAAAAGGTAAAAAGTTATCTATCACAGGCAGTGAAAGAGTTTATTGATGACTTTGAGCTTTGGAAATGCTATTTTCAGTATGGTAGTATTGAATACAAAACCTGATAGGTGCCTTGGATGTGTTCAAACAATAAACACAGTAGGCTGTTACGTTAATCCTGATACAATTACTGCATTAGTGCAGTACTTCCACAGGCTGGTATTTGTACCAGTCCATGAAACACCGGTACAGGAAGCCCGTGCAGCACTTCACCGGTACAGGAAGCCCGTGCAGCACTTCACCGGTACAGGAAGCCCGTGCAGCACTTCACCGGTACAGGAAGCCCGTGCAGCACTTCACCGGTACAGGAAGCCCGTGCAGCACTTCACCGGTACAGGAAGCCCGTGCAGCACTTCACTGGTACTGGAAGCCCGTGCAGCACTTCACCAGTACAGGAAGCCCGTGAAGCACTAGTACATGAAGCTTCATGTACCAGTGAACAAAAACTCTCACTTGGTTTTCTATCCACATTCTCTATTCTTAATTATGTTATTTTGGTGTGTATTATGAAACTAATCAATTAAATGTATCTAATAATTACAAAAATGAATAAACAGTAAATAATAATTACAACAATTAATAAACTGTAATTAATAAAAATTAATAAACAGTTTAGTATATGGAACACTAGAGTACATACAACACTATATACAACACTACACTACAGTATATACAACACTACACTACAGTGTATATACAACACAACATTGTATGATGTCACATGAAAATTAAATATTTTAAGTGAAAAACTCAATAAGCTTTAATGTATAACTTAATCAGACAATTCCCCAATTAATAAAAAAATCTTGAATGTAGAGTACAGCATAACTTAATACAAAAAATTAGACTTAGACAAGATATATAATCACTATTCACTTTTACTTAACAGTGCATATTATTTTTTCACTACTATCTGGAGACAAAAATGTAGGATTCTGCAAGAGATAACATCTCTTGGGTGTGTGTGTGTGTGTGTATGGGTGTTATGCAATGGGGACCTCCTTCCCTGTTACCAACTCCTAATGAACATTTGAACTAGTGTCATCAACTCCCAGTGTCCATGGGAGTAGTGTAGTGGGTGAGAGATTTGATATTAACTCCCTGTGAACATGTGTGAATCAATGAGAGAACCAGTGGGATCAATCCCCCCAGTGTCTATGGGAGTAGTGTAGTGGGCGAGAGATTTGACACCAATTCCCAGTGTACATGGGTGTATCAATGAGTGAAATAGTGGCATCAATCCCCCAGTGTACATGGGTGGAGTGTAGTGGGTGGGATAGTGTCACCAACTCCCAGTATACATGGGTGGAGTGGATGGGAGTGACACCAATTCCCAGTATACATGGGTGGAGTGTAGTGGATGGGAGTGACACCAATTCCCAGTATACATGGGTGGAGTGTAGTGGATGGGAGTGACAGTGACACCAACTCCCAGTATACATGGGTGGAGTGTAGTGGGTGGGGACAGTGTCATCAACTCCCAGTATATATGGGTGGAGTGGATGGGAGTGACACCAACTCCCAGTATACATGGGTAGGGTGTAATGGATGGGTGACAGTGACACCAACTCCCAGTATACCTGGGTGTAGTGTAGTGGGTGGGGGACAGTGACACCAACCTAGTGCTGGCTTGACCACTCAAAGTGACCCACTCCAACTTCCCCACCGACAAAATCACAAATCTCCACTTGTCGTCAACTTGAAGACTTCCCAAACTCTTTTTGGCAGCGAATTCCTGACTACCTCCACCGACGACATACACCTTTAAACACCACATTTACATGCGTAAATAGCTCCGTACACTGCAAAGATTTGACACGATAGGCACCCACAAAGTTCACATAACGGCACTCTTCCTCACATTCACTGCATTATACGCCATCCCAATACCTTTACAGCTCTTTGCGACACCTCACGCGCCCTCACAGACATTACAGTCACCATCGCTTACCGGTCAAAGGTAGCCTACGCAATATTTAATCCAATTTCATTGAGATCGAGGGCAGGGAAGTCCGCGGACACAAGTGTAAACAAACAGCAATATGGCGACTGACTGACAGTGGGGAGCGCGGCCTGCCTCGCCGCCCCCTCCACTCCCGCCGCCGCCGCCGCCGCCCAGCTACCTAGGCCACAGCGTTTGAAATCTTCCCTCGGGTGGGACCTCTCAGCGACTAGGACGTATTGCCTCCATCGGGTGGGACTCTCAGCGACTAGGATGTATTTCTTCCCTCGGGTGGGACCTCTCAGCGACTAGGACGTATTTCTTCCCACGGGTGGGACCTCTCAGCGACTAGGACGTATTTCTTCCCTCGGGTGGGACCTCAGCGACTAGGACGTATTACTCATGAGTGCAAAAGACTTGGTGTAAATTCCTTACATAAATTTCACATATGCACAAGTGTAGGTTTTATCCTATATTATAAAAATTATTGTAAATGAGCAATACAGTGAGAATTTGCAGCGATTTTTAAGCTTTAAAGTAAATCTTCAAGACTGAATGAGGTATAAATGGAGAATTTTCAGTAATCTTTGAAGTTAATATAATTACATTAAAAGGTACTTAAAACTAGATACTGAAGTATACGTAAATAATTTACAGTGATTAAGAAGTCTGAAGTACTGTCAATTTAAAGTGAAGTAATTAAAAATTAGTTGATACCTGGTTGATGTGGCTTTGGGAGTTCTTCTACTCCCCAATCCCGGCCCGAGGCCAGACTTGACTTGTGAGAGTTTGGTCCACCAGGATGTTGCTTGGAGCGGCCCGCAGGCCCACATACCCACCACAGCCCGGTTGATCCGGCACTCCTTGAAGGAAACAATCTAGTTTCCTCTTGAAGATGTCCACGGTTGTTTCTGTAATATTTCTGATGCTCGCTGGTAGGACGTTGAACAACCGCGGGTCTCTGATGTTCATACAGTGTTCTCCGATTGTGCCCATGGCACCTCTGCTCTTCCCTGGTTCTATTCTGCATTTTCTTAGTAAACACATTATAGTTAAAACGGAGAAAGGCGCTTCCTTTTCATATTTATGAAATGACTTATATGACATTAGTACATTAGACATGTGGTAATACTGTAATAATAAATTATATAAAAAAGCACATACATATAGTATGGCGAGAAAAATTGATGTTCGTGCAGCCTCTCTAGAGCAGATGGATTGCCAATCATATAAAAAAAAGTAAAAAAAAAAAGAATTAGACTGCTGTTTAACTTCACGGTGTGACAACTGTAGGATACAGCACAAAAGAGAATACACATTTAAAAATACTTTACTTATTAATAATGACTTTAAACAAATTACAAAACAAAAAAAAATAATATCCAAGCTTGGCTTGATACAAAGAGTGCAAAGCAAACAAGACAGACAAACAATTAAATTTACGTTACGTTAATGTGCAATTAAAAACTATGGTGCTAGAATACTATGAACTAGACTGCATAAACCTGTTACCTCATCGAGATATGTCCACAGGGTCTATTCAGTAGAGCACTCAGAAGTAATTTGAATCGTGGTGGGCTAGGTAGCCCTATATATATAGAACGACGGCCGTCCAGGTTTTTACGGGCTATTCATGCCCGTGCCACCTCTTGGGTGGCTTAATCTTTATCAATCAATCATCGTCCGCGCTGGCATCGTCTATAACTATGAGCCGGGCCGTTAACTGCTTGTTTCGGCTGGTGGCGTGAGCTCCTAGCGACCAGGTGAGGTGGGGGTGATGGGCCGTGGTGCAGGGGGGAGGTAGTTCACTGTCTAAACGTTTCTGATTGGTTGTTGTTGTTTTGGGGGCTGCAGGTCTTGAATAGGTAGACTTGGTATGAGAATAGGTGATAATGGAGTAGGCCGAATCTCTTCCTAGAGAGATTACCGTGACAATAGAAATTCTACAAAGCACCATAAATACTATTAAAACTATCGTGGAAAGTGTTTGTGGGTGGACTGTTGCACTCCAAGGAAGGATGACGTTCCTCATGGCCTGCCCAAGGTCTTTGAGGTAGGTCCCATGCCGGTAACCGGGAAGACCTTTGCAAAGGTCTGTCGAGTCTTAATTGTTTATTTATATGTGCTTGGTGAAGAGTTGTAGTGGACGAGACGTGATTGGTGTTTGTTTGGGGGCATTGCATAGCCTTCTTCCGGAGTTGAGTGGCATGTGGGCTGTGTGGAGGTGGAGGCCCCTGGCAGCACCGGAGATAGGTGCTCCGTCCCCACAACTTGATGGCTTGCCACAGTGCCATCAAAAACACCGTCGCCAACGCCAAAGATAATATAATGTAGCAAATTAAACACGGATAACAATTTTCTGTTGGAACTTCGTCGGTACCGGGTAACGGCGTGTCTGAAATGAACATAAATTTCAGTTTAAAATATCCTTCTTGAAAATAGAAACTAGACATTATGCAAAATTAAGGGAGAATTTTGCCATCATGCCGTGACCACCTAGTGAATAGGCTGGCACTACACATGAGTAGACTCGCGAAGGTAAATTCACCTGTTGGCCACTGTCTCTAGCACCCGTGAAATGACAGAATCATTTGGCTTGTGGATAGATTCTTTCTTTCCCGGTGACTATTTCCCAATTATATTATTAACTGTACCAGAGATTAGGCTTTTACGACTTCGGCGGATGAGCTGTTTGATTAGTTTATTACCATTTGGGTCAAAAAGTATCTCTAATTATTTGTGTTGCATTACGGCTTGGTGAGCTTGAAGCTCACCAAGTTTGATGGAAAACTTGGAATAAAATACAAATACAAAAATACACAAGAGTGTGTCCGGGGTAACACGTTAAAAATTAGATTGGGAGACAGCTCAATGTCTTGAAACTCTTTGTAAGTTCGAGTGGACTAAAAGTTTTTTTTTTTTTTTTTAGCACATCGTGGACCAGTGGATAATGTGCATGTTTTGGTCGACCCGGGCACCGTCGGGTACCACATCTAGTATATAATAAACAACTGAGGCACCAGGACAGAGCCCCGGGGCGCGCAACTCACAACACGCACTCGGATGGATTATTTAACACGGGTGGTAAAATTACATGGTACACGCACAAGGGGACACAGGTGGAAACTGAGTACCCATATGAGCCACAGAGACGTTAGAAAGAACTTTTTAAGTGTCAGAGTAGTTAGTATATGGAATGCACTAGGAAGTGATGTGGTGGAGGCTGACTCCATACACAGTTTCAAATGTAGATATGATAGAGCTCGAGAAGCTTAGAAATCTGTGCACTAGTAGATTGACGATTGAGAGCCGGGACCAAAGAGCCGAATCTGAACCCCCGCAAGCACAACTAGATGAGTACTCGGACTCTGTCATCATAAACTCCATTTATGCTACCTCGCCTTTCTTTGAAATAACCAAGCTCTAATCCTGGGGCTCGAACTATACATTTGTGAGGGTGATACTATACATTCATGGGGCTGAGACTATGCTTTCATGTGACAGGAACTATTCCCTTCTGGGGCTGGTATTTACCGGGACTGGTACTAAAGCTACCAACAACACCCGGATTGTGAGCTAATAATAAAAGCGAGCGGAATAATATCAAGCAACTCCCCCTTACATTTCAGGAAGTTAAAGCTGACTGACCAACAGTTAATAAAATGTAACAAGGAATTAACCCTATTTAACTTACCACTGTTGTTGCAAGGATAAATCTTCATTCCAATGTTATCTGAACAGAATTCAAATTTGACGTTGCTTGTTTGATGGACAAGATGGTTAGTCCGACATAGAAATTCTTCCCACTCAATAAGTTTTGACCAGACGCCAACTGTCAGCCGAGTTTCTTTCAAGGTAACTCTCATCATTATAGTGTCATCTGAGATAACCGCGTCTGTCCAAGGATGTCTGTGACTGCAGTTGTTGATATGAAGGATCCTGATGACTCTTGTACTACCCTCCAAGATTATCGTATCCTTCTCATTCTGCCTATTCGTGACATGTATGGACAGATTCCAGTTTTCTGTTGGTAGCTGAAGCTTGAAAGTAATTAAGAACGTCTTCTTTGTTATGTTGAACGGCATTTTCACCTCCGTTGCAGCTTCAACAGACTTCATCCGGCATTCTGGAGATGATGTTTAAATTTTAATAATAAATTTAAGGCAATTTAGTTTCAGAAAATTTCACTTATGAAGTAAACATACTTTTAAATAACTAATTCTTAACTATGTTAAATTTTATTTGATCACGTCCTTATACACAGTAATACATCACAACACCGCACTTTATGTAATTAATAATACTGACAACCAACAGTCATACAACGATCCATGATCAAATAAATATACACATACAAACATACACATACAATATGAACATGTCAAATTCATTTTATAATTTGAAGTAATTTTAAAGCTATATATGATTAACAACATAAACAAAATCCTTATTAAAGAATTACTGAAAATAAATTATAAATACAGTTTACAATGGGAAACTTTTGTGTTCGTTTCAATGGGAAACGTGGAAGCTTCTTTCACATTCGTTTCAATGGGAAACGTGGAAGCTTCTTTCACATTCGTTTCAATGGGAAACGTGGAAGCTTCTTTCACATTCGTTTCAATGGGAAACGTGGAAGCTTCTTTCACATTCGTTTCAATGGGAAACGTGGAAGCTTCTTTCACATTCGTTTCAATGGGAAACGTGGAAGCTTCTTTCACATTCGTTTCAATGGGAAACGTGGAAGCTTCTTTCACATTCGTTTCAATGGGAAACGTGGAAGCTTCTTTCACATTCGTTTCAATGGGAAACGTGGAAGCTTCTTTCACATTCGTTTCAATGGGAAACGTGGAAGCTTCTTTCACATTCGTTTCAATGGGAAACGAATGTGGAAGAAGCCAGCAATACGAGACAAGACGAAGGGACCGTATTAAGCCAACAACGATCTCACGGGTAATGTGAGATGGTTGAATTCTTTTCCAACCAGTTGGTCTGGTCGACAGAACCTCCACCTCACCTCTTGCAAGGTCGGGGTTCGCTACCTGGTAGCGCTTCCAAGTGCTACATAGTCATACACTGTCAACGTTACCTTCTGGTAATTATTTTATCTGTTTGCTTTCACAAGAGAGGTTAACAGTTTGGTTAATGAAGCCAAATACTATTACAATATTGTGGATCCAGAAGACGTTATTGGAACCAAATCAAATACAAATCTGTATTAATAAATGGTTGGACATCTAGTGTCACAGCTCCCTACTATCCTAGTGTCACAGCCCCCTACTATCCTACTGTCACAGCCCCCTACTATCCTACTGTCTCAGCCCCCTACTATCCTAGTGTCACAACCCTCTACTCTATTATCACAACCTCTACTATCCTCAGGTCACAACAAGTTTCTTTTCATATGATAAGAATGTTACAGGTGTTTGGGATTGGTGTATTAAGTGCAGCAGTATAGTGCAGTGTAGTGTAGTGTAGTGTAGTGCTGCACAGGAGGTCGGTATACATACCTATAGTGTCAGGTGTCGGTGTGGTGGAGACACAGCAGTGTAGTGACAACCACAGCAGCGTCAGCAGCAGCAGCAGCTCAGCAAGAGGTCCGTGTCCTACCATCCTCACAGCTGACCTTCCAAACACTAATATGGGGCAGCTGCCACTACTATGCCAGCCGGATGTTATCCTCATATAGCAGCTCAGGCATCTTGACAGGATGTTGATATCTGCTATCTCAAGGTGGAAGGGAAGGGGAAAAGGGAAAAGGGGAAACACTAAGGGGAAAATAATAATTTCCGTGTTTCTCTGTAACTAAAATGTTACGTGCTGTGGATTTCTCCATCACCTGGGTCAATATTAATATATTTCAAATGCTAACATTAATAAGTAAATATTTGACTTAAAACTCTGGCAAACAGTTAATGTAATTACAAGTAAATTATACCTAGCTAGGCTAAGAAATGATTAGGTAATGTATTTTACACACCGTTGATAAACGGTGTGCAAACCGTTTTTCATTCATAAACAGGGGGTTTCGCGGGTGCATGGAATCACTTTTGGGTCTTTGCTTGGAGGACGGGCTGTTACACACGACTCACAACTGATTTCGTTCGAACACTTCCGGAACAAATGCTTCACTGACGAATTTTGTTCGCAGCACAACGCTGTAAATGCTTCTCCCACGTACTACAAATACAAATAATCGCCACCAGGAAAGAACACCTAACCTAAACCTATATATGCACAATATGCTAATATATTATAATATTAATTTATATTTGAGAAAATTCCCATTTTGAATGAACAGCATGTAAAAAATTATGAATGGGTCTGTGGGGTCGACCGCTGGATGGAATGGACTTGAGTCGAGGACGGGTTGGCTGTGAGTCGTGTGTAAACCATTTTTCATTCATGAACAGGGAGTTTGGTGAAGGGAACGGGACGGGAACCCGTCCTCGACTTAAGTCCATTCCATCCAGCGGTCGACCCCACAGACGCATTCATAAATTTATACATGCTGGCTAAGGCTAAATTTGTACATGCTGGTCAGCGGGTGATTAGGGTCGCACAACCAGCTTGGTGACCGACCGGCAAGTTATACTTTAGGCCTAACCAGTAGTGAAGACTAAACTCTCAGAGTATATACACAGGGAAGTTAGAGCCTACCTCCCGGCATGTTTACACCAGGGTGTTGAGTCTTATCTCCCTGGATACTTCCTCCTTTCACTGATAACTTTATCATCCCTCACGTATCTGTCACAAGTCTCACAACTCTGTGTGTTATTTAACAACATTATCACATATTAATTATTCATGTCCTTGCCGGTGCCAGAGAGGTGTTAGTAAATATATAACATATAACAAACATAAAACAAACGTATATACACACACACAAAACAAACGTCATAATTTATGTTTGTTATATATTTGAGTGACCAACCAATCTGTTAATTTCTGATTGAGCAGAGACATGATATTTTGGCTGATATCAGTGTCGTTGTTATTGATAGTTTTCTATTTTATTTATATATACAAGAGTTCTCACACTCTTGTACAGCCACTAGAACAACCCGTCCTCTTAAAAATAACGTCACTTTTCGCTCGTATGCGCACTATGGCCAAATTTGGACGTAATTTTCAATGAAATCGACTCACAAAAGTGACGCACTGTTTCGTTTTCTGTTTGAGTCGTCCGGCTTACTCGTCAAGCTTAGAAGAGGAAACTTTTCATTAACGTTTTTCATACCGGTTTAAATAGCGTTTCGGGCAGGTTCTTAATCCTAATTTTACCCGGAATACGACCCCGCCAAATTGTTTAACAACCAGGTACCCATTTACTGCTGGGATAACAGAGGCTACAGTTGAGGACCGGCGCCCAGTCAATCCTCCCCGGCCAGGATATGAACGCAGGACGTTCGCGAAGCTCCGGACGAGTGCTTTACCACTGCGCCACGGGGGATGGTGGTGTTATTACAGTGTTGTTGTTATTGTTGCTGTTTTGTTAGTGTCTGTTGAAAAGAAAGAAGTGAAATAAATAGAATAATTAAAGCAATATGTATATTAGCTGGAAAAGATCATCCGGGCAAATGAGGAGACCTTTGACAAGCTACCGGCTTCCTGTCTTCATCGAGGCCACTAGTGTTGGTGACCCTCAGGTATATTCAGTTAAATTATATAAAAGCAAAATTCCTATACACCTAATACAATTAAAGTTCAGGCAGTTAAAGCTGATATGAATATAATATATAAATAAGGATGTAAAATAACTACTGTGGGATTTGGATAAGTAAAAACATCTTTTTGCAATATATATACTTTACACCTCCTTTCTTTCTGCTGTAATATATTTTACAATTTATATTTTGTATTTGTCCTTTTCGCTTATCGCGCTCCATCAAATGAAAGCATATGATCTAAGTTAGTCCTTATACCAGATTCGTTTTCTTTAAAGAATCTTGTAATAGAAAATAAAAGTTCCCAAATGAAAGGATAGACTTTTGTGCATGTGTGATTACCGAAACGAGATATATTTACCTGATTCTAATTTACCTAAAAACAATTAACTCCCGTGGCCTTGATGGAGACAGGAGCCGGTGACTTATAAAAGGTATCTCTATTATTTATGAGGATATTTTTTTCGAGTTGAATTTAGGATTGGAGTATTGTCTTAGCATTATATACGGCTTTGTTAAGGTCATGATTCCAAGGGTTCATTCCTCTTGGGGTGATCTTATCATCTCAAGTTGTCTGTCTTTGACTGTGGAAAGTAGCGTCAGTTGCAGCTTGAAATTGTTGCTACTTCTGGGAGTTGCGTTGGACCTGTTAAAGAAGTTGTCTGGAATAATATCTTCGAATTTGTTCAGTATTTCAAAGGTCTCGATGAAATCAGCCTTGTCGTGTCCGATTTGTAGTGTTATTAGTGCTGAGGGTCTGAGAGTTGCCGCCAGTGGCTGCTGGTGCATTGTGCATTACATACTTGTCCTGTGAGCCATAGTTTACTGTGCACTCAGTGCAGGGTACAGCATCCTGCCCGAAACGCTTTGCGTAATAGTGGCTTTAGGCATTGTATGTACTAGCTCTATCTAAAAATCCTTCAATATTTGTATCACACCTTGTATGTATGTACTTTTACCTGAATAAACATTTTGATTTTGATTTGTAATACATCGATTTCTGATTATCTTTCTCAAACAACTGTGACCTTCATCCGTCAGTACTGCGCCCCCTCTAAGGTCTGGACTGTGTCTGGATGAGACCCAATCCAGACCTTACAGAGGCCCATATATATATATCTGGTTGATACCTGGTTGATGGGGTTCTGGGAGTTGTTCTACTCCCCAAGCCCGGCCCGAGGCCAGGCTTGACTTGTGAGAGTTTGGTCCACTAGGCTGTTGCTTGGAGCGGCACTCAGGCCCACATACCCACCACAGCCCGGTTGGTCCGGCACTCCTTGGAGGAATAAATCTAGTTTCCTCTTGAAAATGTCCACGGTTGTTCCGGCAATATTTCTTATGCTTGCTGGGAGGACGTTGAACAACCGCGGACACAATATAATAACGTCAGTTATATTAGTAGTTATTAGGTTATCGCACAGATACAACAATAACATTTTAACAACGTATGCACTCAGGGAGAGAGTGTACACGTGAGCCGTCAACCAACACCTGACACTGTAGTGAGTCTACGCAAGATCAATGTACATTACACTGATGCTACATTTAACCTGAAGTTACCGTACCCTACACAGTTCTGGTCGCGGTGTTAACCCAAGCAACAGCCTAGTGGACCAAACTCTCACAAGTCAAGCCTGGCCTCGGGCCGGGCTTGGGGAGTAGAAGAACTCCCAGAACTCCATCAACCAGGTATCAACCAGGTAACCCAACCAAGATGAACAGGCGTTCACCGACGCCCTCTCACAAACCCTCACATCTGATGTAATCGCCGCTCCTCCCACGCCACTTATGACGCAGCGCAAGACAGTAACTGGAGCGTGATCTTCAGCTTCCTAAGCGGCAGTCTTCGCTCTGTTTTCCTGAGAGCTAATGCTCTTGCTTGTATTATCTCCCTCGAGAAGTACGAGGGGTCGAGTGTTTAATAACCCGTAATAGGCACGAGTTCTTGGTGGAGGCGAGTGCTGGCGGCTGCAGGATGAGGGAGAGGCGTGGTACCCCAGGATGGTACCAGGATGAGGGAGAGGCATGGTAACCCCAGGATGGTATCAAGATGAGGGAGAGGAATGGTACCCCAGGATGGTACCAGGATGAGGGAGAGGCGTGGTACCCCAGGATGGTACCAGGATGAGAGAGAGGCATGGTAACCCCAGGATGGTATCAAGATGAGGGAGAGGAATGGTACCCCAGGATGGTACCAGGATGAGGGAGAGGCATGGTACCCCAGGATGGTACCAGGATGAGAGTAAGGCATGGTACCCCAGGATGGTACCAGGATGAGAGAGAGGCATGGTACCCCAGGATGGTACCAGGATGAGGGAGAGGCATGGTACCCCAGGATGGTACCAGGATGAGGGAGAGGCATGGTACCCTAACATGGTACCAAGATGAGGAATATGTAAGGGGTACCATAGGGTATCGCAACCCTTCGTGTTAACGGAGTCATAAGTTTATATTTATTCACTATTAGTAAATCGATATTCCAGATGGTTTTCTCAGATTTGAAAACCTTTGACGTAAGACGCATCCCATACAGACACGAGCCCAGAGAGCGAGAGGTCACAGCATCACCCACAAGTATATTGAAACACAAGTTCCTTATATCGGTATAGAAGCATTACTTATGACAACATTACTGATGGAAAGAGGTAAGCGAGCTCTTGAACTCCGTGAGGAAGTCTTGTTAGGTCAGTTCAGAGTTACTGCCAACCCGACCACCATTGCCTGGGTGTTCTGTAATCTCTCGAACACTTGAGGGCCACCCAAGTGTCTCTCCAGCTGTCACTGGAGCGTTAAACCAAAATTGATGTTCCGCAGCGCTTCTTTAATCGAAGAAGTGCGAGTATCTACCAGCGAAGTTGGTAGATACTCACCCAGTATCTACCAACTCAGGATGTGTTAGTGTGTGTGTGTGTGTGTCTTGCTTTTACCAGTTCTTAAGTTTTCTCCCTCGTGTGTCTCCGTGTACCGTTGATCGTATTTCTCTGAGCAGTGGTTGTTTGTAATTCATC